GGAAGGAAGGAAGGAAGGAAGGAAGGAAGGAAGGAAGGAAGGAAGGAAGGAAGGGAAGAATATGAACAATAAAATGGCAATAAGTACATATCTATCAATAATCAAGTCTAAAAATCAAAATAAATAAACAAGGAATCTAGTAAACAAAATAAACTGATGAATACTAGTAAAATAAAACCAGAGATATGGAAACATGGAACATACTGATGCATCTCAGAGGGAAGGGAGGGAGAGGGGTAAGGGATTAACTAAATAACTTATATGCATATATGCATTACCTATGGACACAGACAATAGGGTGCTGAAGGAATGGGGTGGGATGGAAACTGGGTGGAGGGGTAATGGGGGGAAAAAGGAGGATACTTGTAATTTTGTCAATAAAGATCTTTAAAAAAATCCACTATATGAGGATGAAAGATAGTGAAGGGATAACCAAAGAACATATATGCATAACCCATAGACACTGACAACAATATGATGATGGCCAGAGTGGAAGGGAAGGGGGGCTCTCAGGGATGGGTAGAGTTGGGGAAAATGGGACATCTGTTATAGTATAAACAATGTTTAAAAATAAAATATTCAGGCTTTAAAAACGAATTGCCACAGCCCACTTTGTATAATGTTGGTACTTGATAAATGTTTAGCAAAGGTAACTTTAAATCTAAGACATTTTAGGAGCTATTTGAAATCAATAATTTTTGTGGAAATTGAGACTTGGGTGGTCTAGAGAGTCAGATATTGAGAAATAGCATCCTATTTTGCTTTTTGTTTTGGTAGGTTTGCAAAATTTTACAGTATATGTACCCTGAGAACTTGGAAAAAAGCAAAAGTCAACATAATTTTCCTCTGAATACAAATGTTTGTTTTACATAATAACTATGCCTTGAATAGCTGGACGAAAATTATTCTTTCTTTGTATTTATAGTTCAAAAACACACACTTTACAGTTTGAATAGCAAGTAAAAAAAAGAGCACATATAATTAGAGCAAATATTTATTAAGCACATCATTTAAAAAATAAACAATCATTTTCTACACTTAGTTTATCAGAGAAATATCTTTCTATCTTTCGAAGAAGTTAAGGTTAATACAAGCTAGAGAATGTTCTCCCAAGAAATACAGCTCCTAGTGATTGTTCAATATGCTTTCAACATGTTAATGAAAGATTCACAGTAGAGCTAAGTTGAAAGATGTTGCACAGAAAGCCTGAAATCACACGTTTAAAGCCAGTATTTTTCTGATGTGGGAAGATGGTTTACATTTACTGAACACATGTGTCATTGTGTCATTTAGCTACTGTGATGAAAAATTACCATATATTGGTATTGCTGACAGCTGAGTCAATGTTGAAGGAAAACTTGATTTTCACTATTCCTGTCTAGCTCTTCAGCATTTTTTTAGTACTACCTTAAGTTAAAGAGTAAATAGAGAAAAATATAAATTCACTGAGAAATGTAGCATATATGTGTGCAAAGTTTTGTCTCACAGAATAAAAAAGTATTCTGTGAAATGTATTCAATATGGATAAAACACCTACAATGTTCTTTAGATTCTTAGTGAATTGCTTAAATACCTTCAGACCGTCTGGATACTCGTGAATGTTTTCCTCAGTTTTATCAACCAGAAGTGACTATGAACTCAACTGCATACATTTTCTTATCTTAAGTAATAGCTCCTTGATTGACTTGATATATCCAACAATTCAAATGATTTTGGCCAAGACTTGATTACCATCAGCATTTTCTATCAACTCAGTCATTCCACAAACTACAATCTTGTACTAATATTACATGACTAAGTCCAATTACATTCAACCACACTCTATTTCAGAGTACTCTTGGCAAGAAGTCCACACAGTCAAAAGTCCACCTGAGGTACTAATGAAGTGACAAGATTATGCCCTTCAACTAAGAGATGTGGCCAGGGGATAGAGGAAAGTTACATACAATTTGTTGGCTTTTAATACCACCCCTACCCCCACATACCTATTGTTGGCAAAAGCAGGTTATAAATTATTTACAGGCTTTGAATGATTATTGCCAGATCGTAAGGTGAATTATTAATTCAGCCATAATTTATCTTTGGGCCTTATTTTATCAGAAAGAAGCTTTTTGTGTTTGTTTAAAAGTTAATATTTGAGGTGAAAATATAGGGAAATTAGAATCTCAAGCAGAACTGTATTCATTACTAATAATTACTACCTAATGATTCTAAGATCTTCATATAGAAGATAGATGTGTTTTCATGTGGTTGTACATAGTTCATAGTTATTCTAATTTTGATAAGTGTATTTATTAAAAAATTCATTTCACATACTTGTTATAATAATAGAAATAATAAGAAAATACTTTTCAATCTGGAAAGAAATTTCAGCTGTGGTGCCAAACAAATGAACAAATAAGCAAATAAACCCGGCCTGATTACATGTTAAAATAATAAATTAAAACACTTGAAGTAAACAAAACAAAACAAAATGCAAATTGAACTAGCACTGCATGAAATTGAGACAAAAATTTCTGCTATAAGTGGATTTGAGCCAGAAATGTATTTTTAATGAAAAATTCAATTAAAAAATCTTTTTTTGTCTGTCCATGAATGTGTCTGCTAAGAAAGCCTTAGCCTTTATTTGCTTAAAACTGAAAGAAGCATCTTGAGGTGTATTCTACTTCAAGTCCTAACCCTCTGACTCATGAGAGGTTCTCACAGATCTCAGGCAACTTAGCCCTCAGCTGCGGAGATCATGGACAGAGCTCGGCCTAAGGTACATTAGTTGGTTGGACATCACACTTACCTGCTTGATTTGTGGTTACATTTACAGACACATACTGCCGGGCTCCTGGGCTCAAGTCGGACACTCCATTCACTGCCTCAATCTCAAAGGTATAGTTTGTGTGAGCGAGCAGATCCACCATCATGACAGAGGTGTTTTTCAGGCCGATTTGCTGGGGGAGGTACCTGACATGACCTCCACACTCGTCACACACACCTGCATGGGAGATGCACTTCTTGCATGCAATATAATATGACACATCTTTCCTTCCACCAGTGTCAGCAGGAGGAATCCATTCCAGAAAGACACTAGTTTCATTAACATTTGAGATGGCATTCCGAGGAGCGGAGGGGGGTCCTGGTTTGCAAAGTAAAGTGAGAAAAACATATTTTAAGATAGGCATCTTTACTACACATATCCCTGGTCTGAAGGAGAAAAAAATAGGTTTGCATTTATTTATTTATTTTTAAATAGGGAGAATCAAAGAGTCATCATTTGAAATAATCTTTGGAAAAGCTTGTTATAGTTTTATAGGGACAATACTGGATTGTATACCCTGTAGAAATAATTTATCTTGGAATTGTTGTAACACTAGTTCGACTAAAGCAGATATTTTGCCTAGTGTGTATGTAAATAATTATGGTATATAACTATACATGTAAAAATAGTTAGATGAAAAAATATACGTATATTTAAAAATGGCAAGTCTTTTATCAAATACTTCCTTAGGATTGAACTAATTACTTCCTTCCTAGGATGGAACTAATTACTTCCTCACTAAAATTGTCCCTAAAACCTAGGAAGCAAACAGGAGGGCTTACCAAGACTAAGCACAGGTACAAACTGGATTTTTCAATGTGGCTCTTGAATAAAAATTCTGCACCAAGTAAAATATAGCCTTAGCTTACCTAAAAATAGATTGGCTATCTACTCATAATTCAACAACAGAATTTGAAACCTTTCTTCAACTTCAAGAAAACACTAGAATTTAAGTAGTTGGTCAATATTAAAATATTATAATAAAGTTTTTTTAAAATTTTTGATATTGGTTTAAGATGATGGCTTTCTGCAAACTATGAATTTTGCTTAATTGGGAAAATAAGTTTTATTTGTAAATTAATTCACAAAACTACAATGGGAAGAATGAAAGTATTCTTCAGATCTTGAGGGATTAGCAGAACAAATTTATCAATAAATAATAAATAGCACCTATGTGTCTATTACTTTACATATTTCTAAAACTAATTAGCACATTAAAGAAAACTAAAATTGATTACACATAATTATAACAAATGTATAGCCCTCTGGTGGGGAGAGTTGATCATGGGGGAGGCTATGCATGTGTGTAGACAGGAACTATATGGCAGATCTTTGAATCCTTCTGAATTTTGCTATAAGCTAAAAATGGTCTAAATAAATAAGTCCTTTAAAAATTGATGGCATAATATCTAATGTTATAGTTGGTTTTTAAATACTTAGAGCTAAAATTTCAGTCAGCTATTACTGTTATATGATCAGACGTTCTCAAAGAGAAAGTAAATTTATATTTGTTTCAGACTTGATTATTAAAGATTTCCTGTCAGGAAATAAAATAGACTATGGTGGTAGTTGAATGGTTGATAAGCAAAAATTAAGCAAATTTAAGATGACATAGTTATATTAATATGTATTGTCTGTTCTAAACATAGGGATTCATATTAGTTTCTATCTAAAATTTATAAAGCCATTACTGCTAAGACCTAAATTTAAAAGTAATAGGAAAGTTACTTAATATTTACAAAATAGTATTTAAATTAAAGGAGTCTATAATCAAAGAGTTGCCGTTTTTCACAAAACAATCCCCAGCAACATTTATAGTTGAACCCTGTGAATTTTTCCATGTGTACAGTCTTACATGCTTGTATATAGAAGTCATTTTTAAATTGAAGCAAGTACTTAAGACGAACCTACAAGTATTATTTTTTATTATAACTTATTTAATATTTAATAATGGAAATTATGGAGAAAATGTAAGTAAAGATCAAATGTTATAAGTTTCCTTCTAAGAAAGTGGTAAAAAAAAATACCTGAAATATATCTGTTCAGAAAGATACCAGAAGTTCTGGGATTTTTTTCCTACCCACTGGAATGCATGCACATGCAACACCTTTTCTCTAAATCTGATTCTTCCTTTTCTTCTGACTCTGCTACTAACAGCCCCTCAATATTTGGGTGGGGGCTCATCTGAAACTCAAATTTAAAGTTAAAATGAGATTCAAATTTAAGTGAAGTCCTGAAATATAAGTAAAAAGTAGAAGCTCAGACAGACTTGTACCTAAAAAATACTGTAATGAAATTCAACTGGCCATTTATATATGCGATGTGTGAACCAAAGTAGAACTGTGAGAAGTACCCTTGATTTAAGGAGTTTCATTAGAATCTTTATTTATTTTGGTTTTATTTTCCTCTAGGTTTATTACATTTTTTCCCAGATTATATATATATATATAAATAATACTAAAAGGAATTGAACCATAAAGTTAACTCCAAAGAGCCAAAATTCTAGATTCTCATCTTAAGGTCAATCAAGCCATCTTCATATGCAGTCTTTGTGGTGGTATGAATGCAACTTAAAAGAGAACACACACACTCACAGAATATATATTTATAAAACTGTCTACACAGGTCCCAACAGTCTTTTTGAGAAACGCATACAAATCGGTGTTGTTTTGAGACAGTGTCAGCATTTCGCACACCTGGAGACAGAGAAAATGCGCAGCCTCAGGCCCTAAGTGCTAAGAAGCCCTCACCACCAGAGCACAGGGTCTCCACCCCCCGACCTAACACGTTTATAGAATGGAGGCTCACATTTGTACTAAGAAGAAGAAAGTTCACGGCTGGACCACTTAAAGAAAATTATAACTAGAAAATTGTGATTTTTAAAAGTATCTCAAGACATGGTTTTCTCTTTCTAATTTACCATTCTGTTGTCTACCCAACAGTTCCCCTACTATTTGGTCTTTCTTTTGCTCTGAATAATCAAAATAACCTCCACCGCAACCAAAATGCACCACATTCAAACATAGTTTACATTTCTTCCATTAAAATTTAGTTTCCTAAAAGTGTATGGAATAATGCCATTTACTCATGTGAAGGGGAATAATTTATAATTAGTAATCACTTAACCCATAAAACTATCAGTCTCGTGATAAAAGAATGATCTTTAGCAATGCAAAGCTGATCAATATAAATAATTTGAGGAACTATGAACATATGTTTCACTGCACTGAAATGCAGATAAAATTTCAGTTTGTGGTTATTTAATTAAAGGTATGGTATGACTCTTTATATTTAATACTAATGAAACTAAGTTTCAAAAATCTGTCATCATCTGTGAGAGCAGCTACAATGTAATGGAATCTAAAATACTTAAAACAAGACAGGCCATGAAAATTAACTGTTATGAAGAGAAGGGATCCACTTTTCTTCTCTTTCATTTTTTTTTAATTCGCTATAGAGAACATGAATGTGAAAAACTAGAAAAGTATTGTCATGAAGCAAACAAATACATACATTTGTTTTCTTCCCAGAAATATATACGGAACACTAGAAAAACACCAGAAACATTGATGGATGTGAATCCATTCACTGCTAATGTTGAAATTAGGTGTTTAATATTCATCATTCTAATTATATGGTTATCTGATCATATAATTAATAATAGTTAAGGACACTCACTCCTAAGAAACACTGCAACTGCTTCAAAATCCTAACTAAATAATTTATTTTATATTTGGTCCTTAAAACAGATTCTCTAACACCCAGTTAGTTATCCATGTCCTTGTAATATTCCCTGTCTTCTACTATAAATGACCTCATTGGCCTTTGTAGCTTAGTGGTGCCAGTTAGAACAAAAAGTGAAAGTGGCATCAATTGCATGTTTAGGTGGTTAGAAAACTGGCTTAGAAGAAGAAGAAGAACATGTACCATGAAGGGGAAATGGGTTGATCAAAGTCATGTTTGGCTGCCACTAAGGGAACTCACAAAATAAAAGGCAAAATTCTACGTCTGTGTCTTTGATGTCGACATTGAAATTCGGGAAAACGGATGCTTCTCACAGTGAGTGAGAAATGAGCCTCAAAGTTTCCAATGCTTACTCAAGAAGACTGAAATGTGGTGAACAACTATACTGGAAGATTCAACACTATTCCTGTTGTAGGGGAAATGGTAATAGAATGGAACAGGCTCCACCGTGCTCTTTCTTCGAACTGGTGAAAGGGAGCATCACCAAATATCCGTGGGTTTCCTTACTTGTGCATGCCATTGTGGGTGGATCAGACTCCCTCCTGAAATAATCCTTTTCACAGACACAAGAGGTGGAAGCTTCCTCCTGGCTGTAACTGTGAGGTGGACATTTGCTGCAGCTCTGGTTGTGAGGTGAGGCTTTGAAGAACCCAGGTCTGCACACTGTCAAAAGAAATAAGAGACTAAGCTTTTCCCTGGAACAGATGCAGGGTTTGTTTTGTGAATCATGTCATTATTTTGATGACTATACACAGGTTACATATAGCACAATCTTGGCAGTAATTTTAATTTTTTAATAAGCTTCTGAATAATAAATACCAGGCTATTCATTCAGAGAATCAAATATGTACAGTAAGTCTTTAAATTAAACATGTTTGAAATGCTTTATATAGTTAATGATTTTTTTTTCATGCTATAGGAGCTTATAAGAAATTATAACGGGCAGTAAATACTTGTTTGCATTTAAAACTGAAGCAGTGCTTTGAATATAATTTTCATTTCCTCTATTAATATATCACATGTTAAAGAAATGCAAATTTGCCACTATGCTCATAAAAGGGTATGGTACACAGTAGGTGCTCAAAAATTTTTTATTAAATTAATTAATCAGTACGTGCTTTAATTCTGTTAGATTGGGGAGGATGCATGAATGAGTTGGTGCACTATTCACATTACGTTGCTTTCTGGAGGAGGTAGATTTTAGGCATTTGTTTTACCTTTTACTCCATTTTAGAATTTTCTTTTTCAGTTCAACATGCAGCTATTCGAATATCGGTCATGCTTATACAAATTATAATGATCTATAAAAGGTAGAAAATGTGTCTCATTCACAATACTTATCACAGTGTTTGACCACAGTAGGTGTTCGTAAATTGTTATATAATGCATAAATGAATGACTGGAATGGCATAAAGATTGAACTATTTAGAATCACATAAAGATAATGTGCCCTGATATTTTTGTTAACATTTCTAAGTTGGTGGTCAGGTAAATAAGTGCTAATGAAGTAAATCTTTTCATTCTGTGCATCCCCTAAACTTGTGTGTTTTTCTTCTTTCTCAGTGGCTAATAAAGTCAAATTTCAATATTCCAGCTGCCCAGTGTGAGCCATTTGAAGACCAACAGATACCAAGCTCATGGTTTGGTTATTTTTATGGCTTAGTTTACTGAAGCTAAAAACCATCTATATTTTTTCTATTATTAAAATTAACTGTATACATATACATATACATATACATATACATATACATATATTTAAAAGCATTGATTCATGAATAATGACCATTAGTTAAGCTCAAAGGCAAACTTGCATTTCAATAAAAAATGTTGATAGAGCCCTAACCGGTTTGGCTCAGTGGATAGAGCGTTGGCCTGCTGAATGAAGGGTCCCAGGTTCGATTCCGGTCAAGGGCATGTACCTTGGTTGAGGGCACATCCCCAGTAGGGGGTGTGCAGGAGGCAGCTGATCAATGTTTCTCTCTCATCAATGTTTCTAACTCTCTATTCCTCTCCCTTCCTCTCTGTAAAAACTCAACAAAATATATTTTAAAAATATGTTGATAAACATAATGAATTGGGGCTAAGTAACATGTGCCATAATTGATCTGGGATTTTAGTAATCCATGCTAAGGTGTTCTGCTACCACTGAATAATCAGGACCTGACAAAAATAAGAAGGTATTTTTTCCAGTAGGTCTAATTATAGTGATAGTAAAGCCTTAATGCTCTTATAAATTCAGAGAGAATGTGAAGGTATTGGAAAGATAAGAGCTTTTTGATAGTATTAAGGGCATTCTTGTAGTTAAGTGATTAGGAGAAGATTTAAAATATTATTTTTCTTATAATAGGATTGCTGTAGCAGCCAGTACTATCCTTAGGTAAGTTATCCAATTTTCCTCTTTTATCTTTTTATTCCCACTTTAAACACTATTTGCTTTCAAAGACATGAAGTGCCAATCCACTTATTGTGCAAATTTGAAATTTACTTATCATTCATAAAAAAAGTCATTTTTTATTTTTAATGAGTGCCATTTAACTTAATAACTTTATATGATATGTATAAAACCGTTTTTCAACGCTCCATGGGAACTTTAGGAAATAATATAAATGTGACTAAAATGTTGATAAATATATCTTTCTGTTCAATAGTCTAACAAAATTCTTTCAGCATGTGTGGTAAGAAGACATTTTTTCTTGGTACTGGGGTACAGAAGTAAACAAGATAGAAATAGGCCTGACTTTATGAGTCTTAAAAGTATTTCGTAAGTAATTATACATATGATGACACTAGGAAGGAGAGCTATGAGAGTGAACATCAACACCCACTTTAGACTGGGATGCCAACAAAGACTTTTCCATGGAAGTTGAATCTCTGAGTTGTAAAAGATTAGTAGTATTATCCAATTAGAATAGGAGTATTGCAGTATAGAGGGGGAAATCCTTCCATAGGACCAAAAGAAGTGGCAGATAAACAGGGAGATGGAGGAAGTTAAAGAATTGATCAGGCAGATAATAGGAATCAAGTGACGGAGTTAAAGTCAGAAAGGAAAGGAAACACCAGATTATAAACACCTTACAGTTGTGACTTGAGATTTTCATGAATGAATAAAAATGAGCAGGGGAATAATAAGATCAAAGTGGTGTTAAGGAGACCATTTCACAGAAGTATGGGTAACAGATAGGAGAGGAGCATAGATAGAGGCAATTGGCCATTTTGTTTCTATTGCATTGATCCAAAAAAGGGCTTTGTTGCATGACAAGAGTGGTTCTAGTGGCCAGAGATAAAAGTGAATTCAAGAGGGAAGTATGAAGTGAAATAAACAAGATTTCATGGTGTATTTAATGAGTCAGATAAGTGAGGAATAGATCTCATGACTCCAAAGTAGTTGGCTTAAACTGCACAGGAAAAACTGGTGCCATTTTCTCATAGAAAACACTAGATATAAAATGTGTTTGGGGAAGGTAAGGATTATGTTTAAAGCATTATTTAATTTGAGGTTCGCTGAATATCCAAGTATTTTTTATAGAAAGCAAAACTGTGGAGTTCAATGCAATCCAATACAAAATATGACAAAACCACAATTTTTAATTGCATTCCAATCATGGTCCCAAATCCAAATGGGATATACAATGCTACTAGACAATCTTAGTTTTACTTTCTTCGTTAACTTCAGTTCCTAGCCTCAACATGATTATTAACTTCAGTTAATTTCAGCTCCTAGTATCAACATGATTATTTAGTAACTTCATCTCTTTCTTCTAAATCCTTATAACCTCTGTTCCTTTGTGACACTTAGCTGGTATACTTGCCTGCGTGCTGAGAAAACAGAAGGCATAAGAGATAAACTTCATTATTTTTCTACCACCAAATCTCCAAACATATATACACTTATACCTACCCTCTTTATCTCTCTTCCTGTTAAATCTTTGTTCCCATCTTTATTTGAACTTTAACTAGGAAACCCCATATCTGCCATCTGAGTATAATCGTCCAAGTCAAGTGTCTAGTATATTTCTCTCTCTCTCTCTCTCTCTCTCTCTCTCTCTCTCTCTCTCTCTCTCTTCCTTCCTTTTTCCCTCCCTCCCATATACATACCTAGTCAGCCAGTCATTCACATGAGCCCAATACAATGAAAACAAAGTGAAACAAAACAAAGAACAACAGCGTAACTATCAATCTTACTTGATCTAAGTCTCCCTGTAGCTACCAAGAGTTTTGTTCTCCTTCAGAACATAATTTCTTAAATTATTTTCCATACATGTATCTCTAGCTCAGTTTAAATCACACACTGACACACTCCACTCCTCTGAAAGTACTCAACTAAAACTGCTTTTGTTAAGATTGAAATTAGTTCTCTGTTGCCATACTTCTCAGCAGCATTTGATCAAGTCTTGTTTTGGGAAATTCTAGTTAATTTTACTACAAAATGCTGGCATAGCCTACGTATGTCCACATACTATGTAAGAAAAGCTTCAAATGTGGCCTCCAACACTCACTATCTCCAGCCACACTAACCTCCTTGTAATGTCCTGCACTTGGGGAACTTCTCTATCTGCCTCTGAATATTGCAGGAAAAACATTTTTCACTCTTTCTGTCAAGCACTGTGGCAAGGACTGTTTGCATGGTGGTGAGAAAATAACAATTATCCTCCACAGCCTGAAGATACAAGATATTTGGGGAGACAGCTAATAAACAAGTAATCATCAAAAGGAGCAAAAATTGAATTTTACATTTTTTAAAATATATTTTTTATTGATTAAGATATTACATATGTGTCCTTATCCCCAAGTTACTCCCTACCCCGCCCCCGCTCATCCCCTCCCCCCCCCCCCCCCCCC